GCAGCCATAAAAAGAACAAAATCATGAAATTCGCTGCAACCTGGATGGAACTAGAGTCTATAATACTGAGTGACCTCTCACAAAACAAAAATCCGAATATCACATGTTCTCACTCATATAATGGACCTTGAACATCCAATGCAATACTATGAGAAAATGACGGATGGTACTGGGAAACTATGGGGGGGAGGGGGATGGGATTAACAGTAGCAAATATCTGTCGGGGGATGGGAAAACACTTCTTATCTACAGGGTGCCTGAATGAAACGTCATTGTACACCTACCCTTAATTGTACCCCACAAAACCATAATAAAAACTACTGATTAATGAAAAAAAAAAAAAAATTTAAATATTGACATTTTGTAACCTTTCATGTATTGACATCAATTGCAGCTAACAACAAAAATGAGTCACCAGACATGTAATACAATGTTACTGCAACATAATTTCTGAAACACTGCTCATTTTTGGAATATCACATATACCCACAACCAAAATAAGCAACAGAATGCATTTCCCCCCAACATAAAAAATAACCTAGAAATTATTCATGCCATGCTTCCTCTTCACTAACAAAACCAAGTGCGAGCTATAGAACTAAAGTTGCTTTCTTGCTATTTGAACTAACATATGTGCTGGAATTCTTTGCATTTTCATTATTTATTTAATTCTCACAAGAACCTCAGGTGGTAGTTTCTTTTATTATTCCCACTTGCCCATGAGGAATCGGAAGCTCATCAAGGTTAAGGTCACCCAGTAGTAAGTGATAGCTCAGTCAAGGTCTGTTGGACTCCAAAGCCTGTGATCTTAGTTTCTGTGCTCTACTGGCTCCACTTGGTTGCCTATATTTGTCCGTCTGTACACTACATCACTATGTTGGTGCATTACACATCACTAGGTTCTACTCAGTCTTGGCTGAACACCTGTGAGCACCTACCTATCAAATAACTGGATGTTTTTAAACAGTTTCTTTTTTTTCCTCTTATTTTAAGAGAATACGCATAAAAGTCAGTACACCACAGGTGACATGTAGAACTTAGGGTTCCCTAGCCAGGCTTGGTGGCTCAGCCTATAATACTGTGCCTTTGGGAGGCTGAGGTGAGTGGATTGCCTGAGCCCACAGGTTTGAGACTCGCCTGGGCAACTTGGCGAGACCTCATCTCTACAATAAATAAAAAATGAACCGGGCGTGGTAGCGCGTGCCTGTAATTCCAGCTACTTGGAAGGCTGAGGTGGAAGGATCGCCGGAGCCCAGCAGGTCGAGGCTGCGGTGGCCGGGAGCGGCCACTGCACTCCAGTCTGGGTAACAGAGTGAGAGTCCAACTCAAAAAAAAAGAACTTAGGGTTCCCAAATGTGGGCTGGATCATCAATAAAACCTGAGGAGCTCCTTAAAATATATGTTCCTTGACCCCACTCTAGATATTTTCAGAATCTCTTCTCTAGGTACTACGGTCCAGAAATTTGTATTTTTAAATAGGTATTCTAGGTGACTCTGACGCAGACTGACTAGAAAACCTAGACATATACAACTGTAAGTTTACCAGAATAATAAATGAGTTACCATTCTCTTCTTTCCTCAAATATGGGAGTGTACTGTATTAAAATTAGAGTATATACTGTAATAAGATTAGCGTATATATAGAAATGTAGACTTTTACATTGTACACTTCCATTAAGCATATATATTATAACATGTAAAAGTAGGCTCATATTTTGGGTTTTAACAACTGGTTTCAATTATATTCTTATATTAATAAAAAAAGTTGGTATCAGAATTCTCAATCAGTAGATGGCCATTACTGATTATAAATATTGCTAGGGGAAAAATACTCAAGTACTTAAGCTACTCAAATGGAAAAAATGCATTTGTACTTGAAAAGCTGGTTATAAAAGAACAAATGTAATCAGAATCATATTTTTCCATTGACCATACGCAATCATATGTTTTTATGAGTAAAAGTAGATGTTCTAAAAGTTAAGCAGAATTTTATCTAGGAATGTCATACACATTTGAAAAAAATAAATAATTTTCTGGTATGATTGTAACTATTAAAATCACTGAATAACAAAACTATACATAAGGGACAGAAATTATACAGAGGGATAAATCTGTATAAAAGATATATATCCTGCTAGTTATTAGAAGCTTTAAATACAGGAGTTCTCTTTAAATAGTCTATTTTTATCCACTTAAGGCCTTTAATTTATGAGCAATTGGTTTTGTATACAACCCCTAAACTCCTTTATATGATGCTACTTGAGTGCTCTGTTCCAGAAATGCCTTTTTACTGTTTAATGTCTTTTGTAACTGCTTTATGCAAATAAAACTCAATCCTTCTATTTTGTGCTGGTTGTAGAATATCAGGAGTTGTTTAAAGGTTCCATAAAAGGTTAAAAAGTTCCATAATGTACTGCTTCCTAAAAAGATATAGATTTTTGCATTGTACACATCCATTAAGCATATATAATTTTAAAAATAATTTTTTAAAAGAGTAAATAACAAAATATGTAGGTAATTTTAAAAATGACTAGCAATGAAATAAGATGTCTTTTTTTTTTTTTTAAACATAGTGAAATCTATGGTATAAACTGTACCTTATTTGCATGGCCTTTGACATCAAAGAAGATTGTGAGGTTATGGCTCAGGCACTCTGCAATGGCTTCCCTCAGGGTAGGGATCTTTTCATCAGGGAAATCATTCCTGTAAGAGAGGGAAAAGGAACAACACATTGTAGGGAAAAGGGAACCAGATAAAATTTAGTGGAACAGACATTTTGCAAATGTCTCCCAATCAAAAGGAAACAGTGTTTTCCAACTTCCTTTTTTCAAACATACCAAAGTTCACGGATAGTTTACTATAGGTACTTGAAAAAAATTACAGATATTCTTCTTGTTCACTTTCTTACTGATACATATTTGCACATATTTATGGGGGATGTGATATTTTGATACAGGCATACAATGTGTTATAATCATATCAAGGTATTTGTGGTCTCCAACATCTTTGAGTATTTATCATTTCTCTGTTAGAAACACTTCAAATCTTTCAGTTATTTTGAAATATATAATATACTGTAGCTATCTATAGTTACCCTACTGTGCTATTGAACACTACAATTTATTTCTTCTATCTAACTGAATGTTGGCTAGGTTAATCAGTATTAACCAACCCTCTCTTCCTTCCCCCCATGCCCAGCACTCTTCCAGCCTTTGGTAATTATCATTCTACTCTCTACCCCCATGAGATCACTATTTTAAGCTCCCACATATGAGTGAGAACATGTGATACTTGCCTTTCTGTGCCTAGTTTATTTCACTTACCATAATGACCTCCAGTTCTATCCATATTGCTGCAAATAACAGAACTTCATTCATTTTTATGGCTGAATATTCCGAGTACATAATACTACAACTTTTTTTACTTTTATTTTTAATTAAAAATGTTTTTTTTGGCAGATTTCTTATTTGCACATATTGCATTGTGGTGAAGTCTGAGTTTTTAGTGTACACATCACCTAAACAGTGAACATTGTACCCAACAGTTAATTTTTCAACCCTCACCCCCTTCTCGGCCTTCCATCTTTTTGTAGTCTCCAAATGTCTACTATTCTACTCTTATACAACATTTTGTTTTCCATTCATCCACTGATGAACACAGGTTGACTGCATATCTTGGCTATTGTGAATAGCACTAAAATAAACACAAGGGTGCAAGCATCCCTTTGATATACTGATTTCCTTTTCTTTGGATAAAAACACAGTAGTGAAATCGCTGGATTGTATGATTCTGTTTTATTTATTTATTTTTTTGGGGGGGGCCATAGTGTTTTCCATAATAGCTGTAATAATTTACATTCCCAATAGTATATAACAGTTTCTTTTTTTCCACATCCTCACAGCTACTTGTTATTTTTTAAAATCTTTTTTTGATAATAGATTCTAACTGGGTAAGATGATGTCTCATTGCGGTTTTAATTTTCTTCCTAATTATTAGTGATGTTGACCATTTTTTCATATGCCTTCTAGTCATTTGTATGTCTTCTTTTGAGAAATGTCTGTTAAAATCCTTTGTTCACTTTTTAACGAGCTTATTATTATTATTATGTTTTAGTGGAGTTCCTTGTATATTCTGGATACTAGTCCCTTGCCAGTTGAATCATCTACAAATATTTTCTGCAACTCAACAGGCTGTCTCTTCATTTTATTGATTAATTCCTTTGCTGTGCAGAAGCTTTTTAGTTTAATATAGCCCCAAAGTCTGTTTCTGCTTTTGTTGTCTGTGATTTTGAAGTCTTTGTCCAGACCAATGTCCTGGAGCACTTCTCCTCTGTTTTCTTTCCTTTTTTTTTGAGTTGGAATCTCACTCTGTCACCCAGACTGGACTGCAGTGGCACGCTCCCGGCCACTGCAGCCTCGACCTACTGGGCCCCGGGGATCCTTCCGC